AGCGCCGACCCAGCCACCACTGGCGCGCACACTCTCCTGACGCGAGAGCAAATCCGACACGCGCGCAGAAGCTTGGCCTGCCTGCAGCGCCTCCAGCACGGCGCCGCCCTCGAGTTTTTCTCGATCCAAATAATCGAAAAACGCCCCCAAACGCCAGCAGCCCGCGCGTCGGATTCCAACGATCCTACCACCACTGCGGCGCAAGGTCTCCGCGTGGCCACGCCGGAAGGACTTCGTGCAAAAGTGCGCAGAGTCGCGCTCGCCGGCCTCTTGGGCGAGCCGCCGCACCAAGCCGAGCATGCGCCCGCTCGACAGGTGCGGTGAAGGCGCAGTGCCCACTGGCGCGCGGTCGAAGATGGCGCCGAGGGCGTGCACGGGGCAAATTACTTCGCGCGTCGCACACCAACAGCTGCGCACAATACGCGACGGGTGATCGACGTGCTTGCGTCTACTCAAATGCAGGGTGGCACGTCCGCCGGCTAAAAATAAAACCACGCGCGCCTTGCGCGCGCGACACTCCTCATCAGAGAAGGAGAAAGACGCGGCCACGCACGGGTCACCCTTTTCGACGCGGAGGCCCTCCGACGGCACTCTAAGAGCGAGCGCGAAAGCCGCCGCGAAAAGACACCGGGTGGCCTCGTCGGGCACGCGCGCAAACATGTCGACTAAAAGACGATGGCCGATCGCGGGCTCCGGCGCCGGCTCGTCGCGCAGGCGCTCGCGCGCGGCGGCGCGCGCGCCGCTCGCCTCCGCGTAGTCGAAAGCACTGCAGTCGACTCGCAGTAGCCTGCAGGCCTTGAAGACCTGCGCATTGCAATTACCACACGTCGGAAATGCGTGGCCCACAGCGCGAGCTCAGACGGGGGGGGCGGCAGCGCGTCGTCGCCGCGTTTGCCGAGCCCTTCGTCAGCGATGGCGAAATGATTGCGCAGGGCGCTGCGCCACGAGCCAAAAGAGGCCGGCGCCCCGCCCGCGAGGGCCGTCGCGCGCGCGGCCTCCAGCCGCGCGGCCCGCTGCGCCTCCGACAGGTGGCCGCGCGCCTCGGCCGCGGCCCGCGCGCTCGCCGCTGGCTCAACCCGCAAGCGGCTGGTGCACTCGCGCTCAAAGTACGCGGCGGCAGGGCAAGCGCGGGCTAGCGCCGCGCGGAGCGATGGCCCTGCACGCCGCGCAGACTCGGAAGACAAATCCGAGCTCGACGAAACGGATTCGGCGCCCAGGCACGAAGCGGAGACTTCGACAGGGCGGGCCGCCGCGCCGCGCGGCGGCGGGCCCGGCGGGGGGCGCGCCAGGGCCATCCGCTCCAGGACGCGCACCCCCTCACATGATAACGCCTGCGCGCCAGCACGGCTCGGCCGCGCGGTCGCGACAGACGCGCGCGCGACAGGAGCGCCTCTAAGCCGTTCCACGTCCGAACGGGCGGCATCTCCCCGACGCTGGATGCGCGGAAGACATCGTTTCGCTGCATGCAAGGCGCGACCTCCCCTGCCGCGTTCCCGCGGCACCAGGGCGCGACTTCGTCGAGCAAGCACGCAGAGGCGGACATCGGCCTCGCAATCAACGCCGCGCGCATGAGGTGCACTAGCCGCCGAGCTAATGCGGGCGAAGCGGAGACCCGCCGCTCGCCCGCCCCGCGAGCCCGCGGACCGATGCACGAGCGCACGGCAGAGCCCGCGCCGCGCGCGCCCGCGGCCTGCTACGCGAGCTGCCCTGGCAGCTGGGACCGCTGGAACTGCGACCGCAGCGTTGGCCAGCGCCGCGTTGTACCCAAATCTTCCAGTAAACGATGCTCATCGCGACTGGGTAGATCGGCAATGTTGCCGTCTGCGCGCGGCGCCCGTGCACGCGCGGCAGGGTGCGGCGGCGCGCGCAGGCGCCCGCTGCAACTCTCTCCGCCAGCACCGACTGGTGCAAGGCGCGCGCCGTCGCCCAGAACGCGTGCACGATCGCGCAATGATCTGGCGCGGCCGCGGAGCCACGGCGGAAGGCGCACTCAGCTACAGCGTTGGCACTGAAGACGCGGACAGCGCGGCCGCGGATCCGGTGGCCCCACGTGCCAAAAGCAAGCCCGAAATTCTGCGCATCCCGCCGATCGCGGAATTGCCTGTCGCGCGCGGTCAGGCGATGCGCCGGTGCGAGCGCGGACGTCGGACGCGATGCAGCCCAGCCGTATTAAAGACTCTGGCGGCGCCCGCGCCGTGTACTCGACGCGCCCGTCGATGCACGCCACGGCGGCCAGATTCGGCGGCGCGCCCCGCGCGTCCGCAAGAATGGCAACTGGGCGGTCGCTCGTAGCCTCCTGCCCAAGCCCTGGTCTCCACTACATCATGGGCCCGGACTTGCGCCCACCAGCGCGGGCAGCTCAACGCGTCTGCGGACAGCCTTGACGAGCGGCTGTGCGCGCGCGAACAACGGCCGAAGCATCGCGCGTCGCATCCGGTGAAACTGATGCGATGCACCCCAGGAGAGAGCGTCAGCCAGCTTTAACGCCGCCCCGGCGGTCAGCTCCCCGGCGGCCAGAGCGGCTCGAGCCCGCTCGAGCCACTTAGCGCGCTTGTCTGCTGATGGACGAGCGCAGGTGCCCCAGCGATCGACCTGGCGGCGCGGGTCAGGGCGCGCGTTGTCGACGCGGTCGCGCGCGCCCTGGGCGGGCGCCTTGATCTGGAAGCCCAGAATAACAATGGGGGTGCCCGCGCGCGGGCGCGGGGGCGCCAGCGCGGCCCGCTCGGCGCTGAACACGTCATCAACGTAGCGCAGCAACAGGGCCCGCAGCGCCTTCCGGCAGATGTGGGCGATCAGCACGCCGATGCATTCCCAATTATGCACGCTGCTCACTGGCGAAACAAAGGGGCGCCGCGACGACGCGCGGGCCGCGCCCCGTGCTCGCCTGCGCCGATGGGGAGCGCCGTGCGCTGCGCGACGATCACTGCATCGCCGCGGCGAAAGGCCACCCGCGCGAAGTCGCGGTCCCGCGGGCGCAGCGGCACTCGGCGAAAAGCCGCGTCGATGTCAGCTTTAAATGAAGAGACCTCTTCGCCACCCGAGAGTTCGTGCACCGTCTGGGCGACGTCGAATAGCGAGTCGATGGCGTCGCGTCGCCAATTCCCCTGCACGCGGCGACGCGCGGGCCAGCACCCACGACGGCGCATGCTGGATGGCCCGGGGCTGCGTTGCCCCGTTGAGATCGACGGCGCCACAGTCGTTCGGCTCGCCTTGGGCGAGCCGCCCCCCTAAACTCCTTGCGGGGCGCCGAAACGCGGGATGACGACGGCCCCTTCTGGCGGGTGCTCGGCCGCCGCGTCGCGTGACATCGCTAATCGGCCCAGCGCCGCGCCCGACCGCGCGGTCTCGAGAAGCGAGTCGGAACGCTGGCCCCGTCTCGCGCGCCCGAGAACTTTCGGCGGATACCTCGGCGCCTGTGCCGCGCCAAAGTGACGAAAGGCCAGCCCCGCCCCGCGCGCAATCGAGGCGCCTGCCCGAGCTCGCCAATCGAAATGCAGCACTTGTGGTCGCGCGGTTCGCCGACGCCCGAGCGAGGGGGGGGCCCGACCAAAGGGGCCCCCCGCCGCAGCTCTGCGGTTCGCGCCCCGACAGGCCGCTCGCGCGCTCGCCCGTCGGAAAAGCTCGCCAGCCTCGAGATCTGGGCGACCGCGTTCGCGCGCGGACATTCGCATAATCGGACCATTGACGGACTCGGACGCCCGCGCGAGTGCGGGGTCGCAGCCGTCGAACCATCGCGCGCTCGCTAGAGGCCTTGAGCTGCGCACCTATCCTCTCAATTCGACGCACGGCCGCCTCGCGATAGGCAACGACCTGCGCGACGCGCAGCGCGCGCGTGCGACGGGGGGGCGCAGCTGCGCCTCCTCGGCCTGCGCGGGCGCAATCCATTCGGCGGCCGTGCGAACGTCATCTTCGCACCAGAGACTCGCGCGCGAAGCCCTCGCGACCCAAGCCAACTGCATATTGCAGAAACGTGACTTGGCTTCGTCGCCAGGGCTGGCGCGGGGGCGCTCGGCTCCGCCGCGCGCGTTGACCTCGCCGGCGCGGGCGCGTTTAGACAAGCGCGTCATCTCAAAGCGCTGCGCTGCGCGAGGCCGCGAGGCGTCGCTTCCGCCGAGCTGCGCGCGTCGCGCGCTCACGCCGCTCGCGCGCGGACTCCATTAGCCCGCGCCGTTCACGAAGCAAAGAAGTAACCAGAAATCGCCCGCGCTAGGCCCCGGCGGGCTCGACTTGGCGAGCGAGTGAAAAAAGCCCCTCGCGCGCGCGTCGCCGCTGCAGCCGCGCGCGAGCGTCGAGCCCTGCGCGGCCGCGCGCGCCGGCGTCGCGCAAGACATGTGAGCGAACGAGCGGCGGCGCCAGCGGTCAGCGACGCGTCCCGCGCAAGCCGCGCCACTTCCACTGGCCGCCCCAATGGCACTCGCCACCGGCGTCTTTCTTCCACTTTGTCGCGGCACAGCCCTTGTCAGCGGCTGGCGAGCGGCTCCGGCGCCTGGGAGGCGCCCTGGCATGGCGCGCAACGCCCTTGCCGCTGCCCTTCGACGGAGCGCTGCCGCTGCCCTTCGACGGGGCGCTGTTCCCCTTTTCCACTCTTCTCGGAACGATCGCACTCGCTCTCTGCAACGCGCAGGATGTCGTCGCATTGCTTTAGCGCGGCCTCCTTGACGCGCCGCGGCGGGGGCGCAGGGCGAGTGGGACCGCGGGTCGACGACGCGGCAATGCACCAGGAAGTCGGGGGCCCCCGCCGCCGACTTCTCCGCCCAATCACGGCGGGGCCCAGTGTCGCACAGCAGGCCCGGGCGCGACTTGCGCCCCCCGAGCGGCGCATTCAGCGCGACCTGCGCCGACGCGCCAATGTCGGACGCGAACGGAGGCGGCGGGTCGATCCCGCCTGCAGGCGGGTGTGCTTGCGCGCCAGGGCCGCGACGAAGGTCGACTGCCCCGTCGCGGCCGCGGCGACCGCGCACCTGTCAGAGGGCAGCGACGCGGGGCGCGCCGCGCGCGACCCTTCCCCGCGCTGCTGCACGCGTCGAAAGCAAGGTGCCAGCGAGCCCATGATAGAGCGCCCTCGCCCTCGGCGCGCCCGCCACTGCGCGCGGGTTCGATGCCCAGCGGGGCCCAGTGGCGCAGGTCCGCGCGCACGAAAGGCATGACAATGCCATTCTTCTCCAACTTCGCAATCTCTGAGGCCAGCCCGGCGACGCAGGCGGCCCTATTGCGCGCGCAGACGGCGAGCCCGTCGGCGTGACCGACCGCGGGCTGCGCGCACCCGCCTGGGCCACAGCGCTGGCGGGAGATTCTGAAAACGGATCTCCTTCAGCCTTTGGCCCGCGCCAACGTGGGCAGCCGGGGCGCCCTCCCCTTTGAGCAGGCGGGAGAGTTCGCCGATCGCGTCGCGCCCAGAACTTGGGCCCGCGCCGCGCGGCGCCCTGCCCTCGCGCGCCGGCGAGGCGAAGCGCTTCTGCGCGACCTGCACGGGGCACGCCGCGCGGCGCCGCGGCGGCGCCGGGGCGAGATGCGCGCCGCGACCTCGATGGCGCCAGCGAGCGCGCGCCGCTTCCCCGCGCTTGGACGCGGCTCGAGCTCGCCGATATCGACGGATTGCGAGCGCCTGGGGGGCCACGCCTGCGACGGCGCCGCGTGCGCGACCTCGCCCCACAGGCAGAGAACGAAGGCGGGCGCGCCTCGGCGCGGCCGGGACATGCCACAGGGACCTCGAGAAACGCTTCCGTCTCAGGGCAGCCCGCCGGCGCGGGCGCCTCGGCAGCCAGGAACAAACGCAGCTCTTCCGCAATTGTCCGCGCGAGGCGCGGCGAAGGGCGCGGTCAAAACGTCGCGCCGCTGCTGCCGTGGCGCGCGCAACGCGTGGCACGAGCGTCGAAACACTACAAGCCTCGCCCGTTTCGCCACATCGCAGCCGTTCGCTAGGCTGCGCATTGTCGCAGCTGTTCGCTCGGCTCGAGCGTGGAGTCGTCGCAGACATCGCTCGTTTCGCAACATCGCAGCGGTTCAATCGGCTCGAGCGTCGAGTCGTCGCAGACCTCGCTCGTTTTCGGAATCGCAGCCGCTCACTCGGCTCGAGCGTCGAGTCGTCACAGGCCTCGCTCGTTTGGCGAAATAGCAGCCGTTCACTCGGCTCCAGCGTCGAATCGTCGCAGACCTCGCTCGGCTCGTGTCGACAAATCGCAGCCGTTCACTCGGCTCGAGCGTCGAGTCGTCGCAGACATCGCTCGTTTCCGGGAATCGCAGCCGTTCACTCGGCTCGAGCGTCGAGTCGTCACAGACCTCGCTCGTCTCGCATCGCCGCAGCCGTTCACTGGGCTCGAGAGTCGAGTCGTCACAGACCTCGCTCGTCTCGAAAAATCGCAGCCGTTCACTCGGCTCGAGCGTCGAGTCGTCTCAGACCTCGCTTGCTTCCTGAAATCGCAGCCGTTCACTGGGCTCGAGAGTCGAGTCGTCACAGACCTCGCTCGCCACGCGAATCGCAGCCGTTCCCTCGAGAAAAAGCCGCACCCCCCGCTGCCAGCTCCGGTGGCTGGCAGGAGAGAAAGATAAACTGCGCGCCGCGCTCGCCGCGCGCGCGAGGCCGAGCCGCCGCGACGCGACGCGGGGTCCCAGCGGCGGCCAGAACAACGAACACAAACAGCGCCGGCAGCGCCGCGCGGCGCGGCGCACGCCCCCCCCCCCTCGCGCAGGCCGCTCCTGCGCGGCGTCGCGCTCGTCAGGGGACACGGCCGCCGACGCCCCCGCGCCCCCGTTCGCTGGCGCGCGCGCGTTTGCACTTGCCAAGTAAACGAGTTTGTGAGCCGACATAATGCTCAAGCCCATGCACGCTCGGATGGCCCACGCGACAACTGCATCACGTTTGTGGAGCAGGACCTCTGTCGCATTTACCAAGGCGAATAGCCTGACAGGCACTGAGACAGCGCGAGCAGGCTGGCTTGCGCCGGGCGCTCCGTCGGCGGCCCCTCCAGCATGCGGGGGGGCCCCGCGCATTCGCCGCGGGGCGACTGCTCTCCAGGATTTGGCCACGATGCTGGAGCGACCTGGCGCGCGGGGCCGCTGGGATCCCCGCGGCAACCAGGGCGCGCGGGGCAACTGGCATCCCCGCGGCAGCCAGGGCGCGCGGGGCCACTGCAATCCACCGCATTGCCAGGTGCCCCGACCTGGGCACGGACGCAATATGCATTCACCCGAGGGCATTGCGCTCCGTGAATGGGCGCGGCCAGCATTACACTTCGCATGTAGCTTGCGTCGCTCGCGCAGCAGTGGCCATTCAAGCTCTCGCCCAGTCCTGCGAGGCCCAAGCGCGCCACCTGGGGCATCTGGTCGCCGACGAAAGGGCAAAGAGTTTCCACGAGTCGGCCAAGAACGCCCTCATCGCAGGCGCTGCCCGTCCTTGGCGAGACGAACCCCAAGGGCTGGACGCGCAATGAGGTCGACAGGTTCGGCATCCGCACGGCCTTGCCGCGGGCCGCCGCTGACAGGCAGATGGGTTTCCAGAGCGACCTAGGGCGAGACGATTCGCGAAGTCGCTAATAAGGGCCAGCACTTCGCCTAAGTGGCCGGCGTAACGCGCGAGCGGGGGAAGTGCGACGGCGAGTTCGGCGCGGGCCGCGTCGCGGGCGGCGCCGACGCGCTCTCCGCCCCCGCGTCCACTTTGCCTGCTGACGCGCTGCCCGTGCCAGCAGTCGATGATACCTGCCGCGCGCGGAAATCCTTCGCGTGGGAAAAAAGGCCTCGGAATGGGCGCGACGCCGCCGAAGGTTCACCCCCTCCTCGCTGATGGCGCCACTGCCATGCTTGCCTATCTCCTCTGGGAGTCTGTCGCCGGGGGCCGCTGGACCACCAGCATCGCGATGATCCCCTCGCAACCGCAGGGCGGTTTCAGGCCCGTCGCCCTGCTGCTACCAATCTAGAGGATCTACACGAAAGTCAAGATCGTTCACATCAGGAGGTGGGCAGCGGCAAACGCGCGCGCATTTTTCGTGACGGGCTCCGGCTCGGGCAGGCCCGCCACCGACGTCGGCGCATGCTCGGCGGACTGCGCCGAGGCCGCGAACGCCGACGACCGCGACGCCATCATCGCCGCGAGGCTGACCAAGCGCATGGCGCCCCTGCTTCGCGCCTGGCATGGCCGACAGCCCCCGCGCGATCGGAGCTCCACCGGCCACGCACACCACGATGACGAAGGTGGCCCGCGCAGGCTGGAACATGAACCCGACGGCGTCGTCAAGCTGGTTAGCCTCGCTGCTGGAGGACGCGCCCCGCTAGATGCCAGACGCGATAGTCACCGTCGAGCCGATCTTCACCTGGGCCCAGATGGCGCTCGACGAAAGAATCCCCTCGGACGCGTTAGACCGGACGCGGGGGTTGCAGTCGTCGGCGCTGTCGGCGACCGCCACGCCGTGCAGTTTGATTGATGGTCCTGCTGGCGCTGTGATGCCCAACTTTCGCCGACTGGGATGGCGAGCGCACTCGGCGACTCATTGGGAGACGGACAGTGGCATAATGCTGAAGCTGAAGGAAGTAGCACCAACATAGGTGCGCACCAAGGCAAGGCGCAGCTACTGATCCGTCAATTGGGGGAAATGGGCAGCCAGGACGGAACATGCACCCGAACTTACACCTGTTTGTCGACATCCGCGGGGCGACTGGATCGAGCAGCTCGCCGCCATGATGCATGCGCCGCCTGAGACTACAACGTGAAACCTGTAACCGAAAGCTCGCGGCACGCTCAGGTAACTACTACCGGGGCACAGTGGTCTCAAGCGGCTTTACACCATGGGCTACGCAGACTCGCCTGATTGTCTTCGCTATGCAAACCAGCGCGGGGGATGTGCATCACAGATGTTGGACATGCTCGCTTAGTGACGACATGAGGAATGCGGCCGTCGACGAAGTTATCTTGTCGGACATGGCGCAGGCAGCGGAGCCGAACAGCAAGTTCTACACGCATGCGTTGTTTCCTCGCACTGTGTTCCCTGATGTACCTCCGCCCCAGGACACCCAACAATGGTGGTACTGCATCGGCGGCCAAGCCATGGACATCACGGGCGTGGCCTACACCGACGGCCCTGCGAGGTACCCATTGTACTGGCCCGAGGACAACCGCACAGCATTTTGTCATGGTCATCCTCAGTGGCAGACGCATCCGTGGCATGGCTTTTGGGCCTTTGCCAGGCCCCCAGCTGACGGCGCAACGCGGGGATAACTACGCGGTGCTCCAGGTATTCAAGCATGAGGGCCTCCCGCTCCACGTCAAGACGGACTGCTTGGGTCTGGTGGGGTCGCTGCCGTTCAGAAAAAATACCACTGCGCCCATGCGAGGCGCGACAACGCCGACCTGAAGCGCCAGCTCCGGCACGCGATCGAGAACAACGGGGGGCCTCAGCAATGACTTGAAGGTCACGCGGGTGGAGGGCCACCAGGCCTTCCCCGAGGCTGGTGGCAGCATCGACAAAATGGGCAACCACTTCGCGGACGAAGCCGCGAAGATGGGGACCGCGCTCCACGGGTTCTCCGGCGAGGCCTACGAGGAGCACAAGAGACTGCTCAAGGCCGCGCGCCAGGTCGGCGTCTGGATCGGCAATAGCCAGGCGGACACTGGCGACCAGCTGGAAAGGGTGGCCATGGTCGGCAGGAAACTCAGCCGAGGAGGCCGCGCCCTGGGCGCCCGATGGCAGCAGGAGAATCGTGGCGCGTCGTCGGATGTGAATGAAAAACGTCATCGCATCGTCGCTGCCGGCAGTGTCTGGCGATGCTGCCACTGCCCGCGTTTCGCTCGTTTGCGAAAGGGCCGCAGGAGGCTCGAGCTCAGGATTTGCCCTGCGAGGGCGATGTTGGAGCGGGCCCTCCCACCAAAGCCCGCTTCCGTGAGGAAGCGGGCTATGGATGGTAAGGGAGACAAGCGGTCTCCAAGACGTCGCAGGTCTGGCGCTGGTCTCCAGCGTCGGACCCCGTAGGGCCAGGCCAGTGGTCCTGAGTGAAACGACCGAAACGATTCGATCGTCTAGTCGTCGTCGTCTGGATAACGTTGTAGGAGCAGAGTCTCGCAGGGCAGTCAGAATCCCCGTGGCCGACAGGGCGTGTGGGATCACTGCAATCCCCGTGGCAGCCAGGGCGTGCGGGACCACTGGAATCTCCGTGGCAACCAGGGCGTGTGGGACCACTGGAATCCCCGTAGCGGCCAGGCAGGGGGAAGCGTCTGGAGGATGTCGTGGGAGCAGAGACTCACAGGGCGGTTAGGCCTCCCGAACCTCTGCCTCCGTCCTCTGATCCTCCTCTCGCCTCTGACCCCTCCTCCTCCCAGGGTGGGCGCCGTCCAGGTTGGGTCGAGGGCCTCCCCGAAGGGCCTGCTGAGCCACCAGTGGCCCCGTCCCCGCTCACTCCCTCGACTCGCACCTCCTCGGGCCTCGCCTCGTCCTCCCTGCCCCCCCCCCCCTCCGCCGCCGCCGCCGCCTCCCCTCGCGCCTCGGTCGAGGGTCAGGTGCGAGGAGGCCCTGGAGGGGCCCGCGCGGCCCCAAGAAGCAGGCAGGGGCGCCGTGGAGGCGTGGACCTCGCGAGGGGCGAAGCGCGCGTGGAAAGGCACTCCGCAGTCCCGTGCGGATGCGGGGGGCCCGAGAGTTCCCGTGCTGCGCTCGGAGGATGTGCCTCCTGCGAGCGCCAGGGGCCATGTCTTCTACGCGTCATGGGGCCTCGTG